TGGCCGAAGGAAGACAAAATTAGAAATTTACCCAAAATAGTGTAGGTAGGAACTCATTTTATTAAAAGTAAAACAAAATAAGGGAATGGCCACCCAAAGTTGCACACCAGTGATTTCATTGGAAAAGTCTTTATAGATATATAATTCTAATTAATGGAAAATTCAAATTATGTTTATAAACACTAGTAAAATGCTATCATTCCATAACATTTTACTTGCCTAGCACCTAGTCTATGAGACATTTTATAGAAGAAGAAGGTTCATTAATTTTACTAATTCCCCATTTTATAGATGAAGAAGCTGGAGCACAAAACATTGAGAACACAGGAAACAGCAAGTTTCCAAAAAAGAAAAAGAAATGATTTCTCTAGGTTCCTTTCTCCATGTTATTCCTCCGAGGGAAAATGTTAACAGTAACCACCATGGGCACAAAATACAAAGGGGGGACCCCCGATGAGAGTGGAACCAAGAGAATAGTAGTACTTAACACAGCCAAGACGTCATTCAAACCCCTTCAAATAGGTGTGAACCCCAGCTCTGCCTTACCCAGAGGAAGATATTGATACATCCCGAGCATTTGCATCCCAGTGTCCTCTTCTTAGCTTTTTGTTTCGCTTTGTTTCTGTTTTCCCAGACAGGGTCTCATGTAGCTCAGACTGACCTTGAATCCCTCCTTTCACCTCCACCTTCCAAGAGCTGGGATTCCAGGTCCTGGCTGTCCCACCCAGCTATATTTAGTGTCTTTGTAGCAGGTAAAGTTCATGCCATTGTTGGCAATGTCAGAGGCAAGATGACCTGCACAATGGAGGTTTCTTTAGGGAGCCCTGCCTTAGAGTAATAGAGCTGGGATGACCTTGTCTTTGCTACACCTGGGCTGAAATCACAAATTAGGGAAACCCAGTCCAGCAGGGAAGAACCCAGAATCTCTGAGCAGCTAGCTAGACTGTTTGAACAAAGGATGTCTGAGTAACTAGTTAGAAATACACCTGCCATAATGAGCAACACAGCCACTGTTGTTAGTGATTTTACACACACACACACACACACACACACACACACACACACACACACACACACACACACGGGGGGGGGGGAAGGGAGGGAAGGAAAGAGAACACAAAACAATGAAAAGCAGTATCTGTTACCACCCTCATGCTGAGGTATTCCTGCATGCATGCAGCACCTAACATGGAAGAAGAGAGGCAGAAGAAAGACATGAGGAAGAAGGAGGGACCTGATAGAAAGGGCCACTGCTGCTCCCCTTACTGTAGGCCACAGATTTCCCCCAGAAGCATTTGGAAATTGATGAAGGCTTCCAGCAGATAAATTCACTTCAGAATGGTTCTTCAGTGAAGGGGAGTGGCCGTTTTCCGGTTCACCACGGGAGCATGTGTAGTAACAGCATCTGGTGTTGCAGAACTAAGCAGGACCTCCCAAAGCATCCCTGACTGAACAAGTAAGTCAATCAGTTCAGTGTTGGCTACTGAAGAGCCTGGGAAAGAGTGTACATGGACAACTACTAAGAGTGTGCCTATCACAAGACCAGTGAGGTTCTGTAACGTGTAAAAGGGGGCAATGCCTTTGCCTCATAGTATGATCATGCCTTTGGGGAACTCTTGTCACAGTGGCGGGGGTGGGGAAAGAGACAAGTAAACTATTAGCTAATGGTGGTTGGCATCATGAGTGAAAGCAAGGGTCAACTAGAGAACAATGAAGAAGGTATGTTTTCTGTGATGTAATTCAGGAAAACCTTGAGAACCTGATGTTTAAACTGAGCCCCAAATGATAAACAGAAGCTATATGTGTGAAGAAGCAGAGAGAGAGAGAGAGAGAGAGAGAGAGAGAGAGAGAGAGAGAGAGAGAGAGAGAGAGAGAGCGAGCTTTCCAGGAATGGAAATTGCTTCTGCAAAGGCTCTGAGATAGAAAAGGATTCTTTTGTTTAAGACCAGGGCCACAGGAAGTTCAGAGACAAGTAACAGACTGAGACTGGGTTGCCAAGGGCGGGTGCATCCCAGGTGGGAGGGTTCATCCTGCCAATCTCTTTCCCCGTTTCAGCTGGAGGGATGAGAGGAATCCAATGAGGGAGCAGGACAGAACCACTGGAACAGAGCAGCTGGAAGCAGGAAGGAAATTCCAAACCCTGTATTGTCCACCTGCCCTAGTGGTGTGAGGGGGCCAAAACAGCTTGACCATACAGCTGCCATGACAGGCTTAGAGGCCCAGGCACAGCTTCTGGCAGGCAGCACCTGGACCCAGGAAAAGACCCAGTGGGGCCTGCATCTAAAGAGAAATACCTGAGGCCCAGACATAGCTTCTGGTAGGCAACACCTGAACCCAGAATAAGCCATAAACTGACCCCACCCAGTGGGGTCTACATGTAAGAGGAAATACCTGACATTCCAAATACTCCCTATACCCCTAGACAAAAGTCAGCATCTGAACCTAGGAAATCCCCTCAATCCAACTTCTGCTGTGATAAAAACCCCACCCTGCCTGGGCTCTGGGCTCTCTGCTCTCACCGCTGCATCAAACAGAGAATCCAAGCTCTGAGCTTGAAATAAAGGCTCTTTGCTTTGACATACGGGATTCAGTCTCCGTGGTGGTCTTTTGGGGGTCCCCTGCAATCTGGGCATAACAGTGAGTCTACCAGAGCCTAGACACACTTTGAGAAAGGAGTCTGTGTTGAAGGGAGAACCTTCTGATTTGGTCAAATGATACTTGGGAAATCAGGTTCCTGGGTGAGTAACATTTCTTGGAAGAAAGGCTCACTAAGTCTCATGGAAAGAGGAGTTTTGCTTTCATTTTCTGGTCAATGTTGTAAGACTACCCCAAAGTAGAATTACCAGGACAAAAACTGCAAGAAATGAACCGTGGAAGGAAATACAAGGTGCAGAATGCTGGAGGGGCTGCAGCAAGTCAGTGAAGGGATGAGCTGCATTCTTTTTGCACCCTGCTCAGTGCTGGTTCACCATCCTCAGCCCCATGGAGACTGGACTAAGTCGGGGCTGGGGACCCACCAGCACAGAAGGGACAATTTTTACTGCCTGTCCTCCTTGTCACCTCAGCAAAGACACCTCTCTATGGGCAGTTTCTCTTGCAGCACAATCACTGTGGGATAAAGCCCAGGACCACCGTGACCTTGAACAACTAACTTAGATGAGCCACTGAGTAATTCCTCCACAGCTGCATGATTTTCCTCATGTGCTGATCATTACTAGCCAGGAATTTACAAACATGTTTAAAAATAATAGAAGACAATAGAATATAAAGTAGTCCTTGTGTGTGGTGCGGGTCCAGTATGACTGAGAGTCATTTCAGTCATACATTAACGTCTATAAATGAACATGCGCCTGTGTGTACACGGTACATTCACAGGCATTAGGTCAAATATTTTTCTTATTGTGAATAATTGTGAATAGTAAGCTTAGAAATTTGAAAAATGTTTACAATTTAGGTTCCTTGCTCCCAGTTCTACTCAAAAGAAAAGACCAAAATTTTACATTCAATGTTACTCAGCATCTTTTAGAGTCAAGTGGTCTATTTTGGGAATTTTTACGTCTGCTCTCTTCCTTCCCTGTTACTTCCTTCTCCTTTCCTTGGTGCTGTCTCTCAGCCTGTCCTTGACTGGTCTCAACGTGTGTCAAAATGCTGTTACAGCTTCAAGGAGACAAAGCAACCCACAGTCAGCCCTGAGCTTACCAAGAGGAGGAAAGACAGCAGGGAGCGCTTTCTAAAATAACACCCCACACCACAAGGACAGTCTATCCAAGGCTCAGCTTTACTTTTTAAATTATTATTATTATTATTTTAAATTTTACATTCATTGGTGTTTTGCCTGCATGTATGTCTGTGTGAGGGTATCAGATCCCCCGGAGGTGGTGTTACAGACAGTTGTAAGCAGCCATGTAGATGCTGGGAATTGAACCCAGGTCCTTTGGGAGAGCAGCCAGTGCTCTACCTCTGAGCCATCTCTCCAGCTCCTGCTCAGCTTTTCTTATCTGTACGTGTGGCAAAGACCAGATAAGCTTAATATGTACTTGCTTGAGCCGTTTTAGGTACAGAATGAGCATGCAGCCTTCCCCTCTTCCAGCTCTTCTGCTACTCAGAAAGAATTTCTTCAAGCCAGCCTTTTGCTCTCTGGGAACTTAGCTGGGAGATGGATGTGTACAGAACACAGAGACAGCAAAATGAAAACAAATCAATACATCAATGGAGTGGAAGGTATTTATATCATACTCAGTCAAGTGCGTTTTATGGCCCAGGGCCAAAGGTCTGAGATACCTCAACTGATGAATCCCCAGGAAATTAGCTCCAACATACTCACTCACAATGAATTTAGAGGGGGAAAGAAGTACTGCACCTAATTACGACTCCATGGGCACTTGCATGCAAGGCTAACTGACCCTGTGCAAATGTGTGAGCTGCAATGTCCGTGCCTTACGCCCCGCCTGCCCCCCACCCGCTCCCCAGCTCCAAGGTCCTCTCAGCACATTATATTTTCCTTTTGCTTCCCACAACATACTGATGGCATATAGGTTAACTGTACATAATACACTAATATATATATTCATACACACAATTAGTCTGTATGCCATACATATATGTATGTACTTACTTAGTATGTATACATGTATACAATCTTCCCCAAAGAAGTTTCCAATATAGACAAGGAAGCTGTGGAAAGTTAATTTAGCCTCCTCCATGTGGTACAGTGGGTGAGGTCAGGGTGGAAAGGCAGAAGGCCTACGGTCTGGTTTTCCCACAGGAAACGTCCTCCTTAGCTGAGGACTCTGCTGGCCAGCTAGGGCATCTCAAGTAGAAAAAGATGGCTTTGTTCTCCCTAGGCTAAATCTTGTCTATCCAACAAGTACTGAAATCGTTGAACTGCCACACTCTTTTCTCTAACTTGTCCGTCACTGCCCTGCTGTACTGGGGTCCTCCAGAAAAGTGTATTCAACAGAATGGGGGGGGGGCAGGGGGGTGTTAAGGAATTGACTCACATAGTTTTGGAGGCCAGCAAGTCCCGAATCAGGAGGCGAACTAGCAAGTTGGAGATCCAGAAAGAGCCGTCACTGCAGTGGCCAGTTCTTTGACAGATCTCCTTCTTGAATTGGGGAAGTGCGACTGATTAGAAGCCTACACACGGTATCTAGAGTCATGTGCTTCACTCAAAGGCCACCATTTTAAATGCACTTCTCATTGAAAACTAGGCACCCAGGAACAGCCTGAGTAGTGTTAGAACAAATATCCGGATGCTATGGCTCATCCAGGTTGACACATAAAATTTAGCTATGATTGAAAAAGTCGTATGCAGGCACAATTTATACACATGAGCCAAATTTTCAATTTGGGTGCTCTTTTAAAATCCCCAGATTCAAAACTTTGTATTCTAGCATGCTGTAAATTATTTAAGATTTTAAAGTTGTTTGTGGTTGTAATTCCTTCTTTGATAACCATGCAGTTATACTCAAGTATTTTGGTTTTAGACTGTTAAAAAATATGGATGCAAGAGAGCTTGGTTTGTGTGGACTCTATTGCTAGATGCCATCCATGCTCTATAGAAATGAAGAATGAGGCACCATTTTGAAAATACTTGGGCATTTCTGTCAACACAATAATACTAGTAAATATGTTAGTGTAAATACCATTTATATGTAAAATGATTGTTTTCTAAAAGAACTGGTAAGAAAGTATGTTTCTGCCGACCTTTTTCATGATCACTCAGTTCTTTGTCATACTATCCTATTGTGATTACAGTACATGAAGAGCTGGGGATGTGGCTCAGTGGTGGAGTGCTTGCCTAGCTACATGAAGGCCCCAGGATTAAGCCACATCACTGCAAAGAAAAAGAAAGTGCCCGAAGGTTGACTTGCATGGCATATAGAGTGCTGGAAAAGGGAAGATTCTTGAGAGCACACTTGGACTATTTTCACAGAAATGCCTCCTCCTGAGCTGCAGACCCTCCTTCCTACTCTCTAGTCTGTCAGTAATCATCTATGCATCCTTTGCAAGTCACACAACTACCGCAGCTTCCTCATTTAACTGAGGAAAGGAGTTAGCACTGTGGAACACATACAAAGTCTTTGGCACGGTGCACAGATTGCTTGCCTGAGTCTTCAAAACAAGTCGTTGTTTGGTGGTAAATAGTCATGTACTGCTTAATGGCCAAAGTATGCTCTGGGAAATACATTGTTAGAAATTTTGTCATTGAGCATTTATAGAGTGAACTTATACAGCTGACTGCTACAGTGCTCTAAGTCAGGGACATTCTGTGGACCACCTCCTGCATATGTTCCTTTACCGATCAAAACATTGTTCCCTGGGTGTGTGACTGTGTTTAACCAGGCAATGATAGGTTAAAATTCACATGGATGTAGCTTATATTGCACAGTAGCACTTTGAGCCTTGAAGTAATACTCAGTAGTTTAATCTACTACCAATGCCAACCTATATACACTCTGATGATTTCTTTCCCATGATTGGCTTGGTATACAAATATAAATACCCACTTCCCACATAAACCCTTCTACTGAAGTGGCAGACTTAATGTATCCTGGGAAAGATACTCAGCGAAGCATACTTGACCCTGCCTCACCACTTTCTGCTTCCATCTTTCACAATCCCTCACTTTAGTATGGGGGTGGGAGTGAAGGACAGAGCCGTGACTGGAAAGCTAGGAAGAGAGAGGAAATGGTCCAACAGAAAGGGGAGAACCAAACCTGAGTTGGAGATTGGGGGATGGAAATGATATAGAATACACTAACAGTGGAAGAGGTGTGGCTAGGGATGACCACATGAAGGAGATTAGTGGTTGGGGCAGGGTTGGCTTACTGGCCCGGGAAAGCCCTGATACGTAACATATGGCAGTTTCCACATTATAAATACTTGTGCCACGGCTGTTTCCATTACCACCATCTGAACAAGTAAGAAAGAAAGGCACACAATTGGCTTTCAGGAACCAATGTCAGTGTGTGCTTGCTTATTTAAAGAGCAAGGAAAAAACTGAGGCTTACAGTGACTTAAAGAACGTGCCTGAGAATGCAAGCTTTCCAAAGCCCTGAGTTCACAATGGCTTGTGAGGATGAAATAAAATAGCCACACAGAAAGGAAAGGCCTGGCGCAAAGCTAGCACTTGGTAAATGCTGGCTTTATTATCGTCGTTGTTGGTGTGTTTCCCCACTGTACCTAAGATGCCTTTCAACTGTGACGCTGGACATGATCTTCCTCTGTGAACGGCTTCATTTGGAAGCATGCATAGTGAGCTTTCAGAATATTTCACCTGCTTCCAATGATTTGATGTCAATATTCTAAAGTTGGGGGAGATTATGTCCTTCTGGCTGTACATCTAATCTCATCTCATTATTCCTGCTGGACTTTCTTAATGAAGCGGGCTTTTAGAAAATAACCAATCATTTGAAGAAATGTATGATGTATTTGACTAGCAATTCAACTTCTAGGAATCCATCCCCCACAATATGCTGTTTAATTAAGGAACGTCAGTGATGGTGAATAGAGCTGGAAATGCCCAAAATCTGTTAGTCGAGAAACAGCCAGATAAGTACTATGTACCCATGCAATTGAATATTGTACAGTTATTTAGAACAGGGTGTGTTTCTGTGTGTGTTGACAGAGAGCATCTTAAAGATACCTTAATGAAGAGGTAAATTCAGTATAAACTCAATCACATAAAGATTAAAGTAGGTCTGTACATAAATGAGAGAAAGTGGTACAGACACTTGTATATCAAATAGGACATGCTGGTTTATTTGGGATAAAAAGATGGAATGGAAACGAAGATAAAAGCATTTTTTTTACTTTCTACATTTCTGCATTAATTCATCTCTACTAAACCTGTAATATAGTTATCATATAATTTAAAATAAACCATTTTAGGGGGGGTGGGAGGTGGGAGGACAGGGGAATCCGTGGCTGATATGTAAAATTAAATGAAATTATAAAATAAAAAAATAAAATAAACCATTTTCAAAGACAGGGATATGACTAGCTATATAGATATGTATGGTTAATGTATATGATTCAAGGTTCTCAATAGCAGACTTCTGAGGGGGTTGTCGAGAAGTGGGGGAGGGTGGGGGGAGAGAGAAATACATCGATGAGTATCTCTTCTGTCAGGACTCTGCAGTTCCTGTTTCAAAAAATAAATATTTTTTTCTCTAGTGGCTAAACTTAAAGAATCGAACATGAAGCATCCTATGTTCTCTGGCTAATTGGAAAGGCCAGAAGCTTTTTGAATAGACTGTATTAAAATGAACCTTGAATCCTATATAGAAGCCAAGGCCCAGCCAGGTCTTAGTTTGTCAATACTGTTCAGCCATTTAGCTCAATTGGGTAAACCTAGAGTCAGCACAAAGTAGACTTCACAATTTTAACCTCCTATTTTTCAGAGGAGTATGTGTGTGTGCAGTGTGAGTGTGAGTGTGTGTGTGTGTGTGTAGTGTGAGAGTGTGTGTATGTAGTGTGAGAGTATGTGTGTGCAAGTGTGTGTGGTGTATGTGTGTGTGAGTGAGTGTATGTATGTGGTGTGAGTTTGTGTGGCGCAAGAGTGTAGGGTGTGTGAATGTATGTGTGAGTGAGTGTGTGTTGTATGAGTGTGTGTGAGTGCATTTGTGGTGTGAATGTGTGTGTAAATATGTATGTGTGTAAATGTGTGTGTAAATGTGTGTGTGTATGTTTGGGGGTACAGGAGCTTTCTATGGCTTGGAATAAGTAAGAGAGAAGAGATAGACACCTCTTCAAGATATTTTCTTCATTAATTCTTTTCTGGATCAAAGTCATTGGTACCATGGCAGAAAAAAATTTAGTTACATAACAGTCTTCATTTGTCATGACTAGAAGTCAGAGGGCAGGAAGATTACTTGTGAAGAAAGGAAATGTTTCGTCATGGATCTCACACTTGAGTTGAGGGAAGGTGTGGTCTCGAACAAAGGCAGACTGGGGTTTGCATCTGGCCTCTGGCACCACCTTTGGCTTCCTGGGGATAATTTCTTGGCTTCTCTACAACAATTTTCCTCGACCATAAAACAGGGATTGTATAAACTGTAGGATTCTGGTAAAGATACAGATTCAGCTTACTTGGTGTGGTGCCTGGCACACAGTGACTGTGTCATCCACAGTCGTTAGGATTTGGAGAAGAAACATAGTGTAGTTAGAAAGACTTGAAAGAAATTCTCTGGATTGAAGATGCATAAGCACCAATGTGTAAATAACCCGACTTTAAACACTTATAGATTGGAATCACTCAGATGTCAGAAGGCAGAGACAGCCACTTTCTGAAATTGGGGTTCTTAGTGACATGCACGTCAGGACTTGGGAGAGCCAGGGAGGAGTGTGGAAAGTCCCCAAAGAGAAACACTGTCCTGTGATGACACCTACCTGTTCTCACATGTACTCCTGTGGGCAAGAGAACATTCCACATGAGGGATGGCTTATTACCATTCCCTCCTAACTCAGCAAACAACCCCAGTGATCAGCCTAAGAGAGTCAGTCCTCAATGCATCTTCCCAAAGCAAGAACATGGCGTGTTAACGCCTACTACTCCTCTCTCCTAAATAGCTAAGATGCTCCTGATAATAGTTAGTGGATAAGCCTGTCTTCTGAGGAAACGCTCCATTCAAATAGAAGGCATTTACACAGAGAAGAATGGAACACAAGAGAGGCAGAGCCAATGGCAGCAGGGAGAAAGATCGGTTTCTGTCGTCAGTCATCACTGACATTGCGCATTTCTGAGATTGTTGTGATGGCCAAGGAAAAGCCCTTAGAGGAGGAAATGAATCTTTTGGTAAACCATGAGACTGCTTCATCTGGAAGACAGACTGGAGTGACGGGCAGGAGAGATGACTCAGGAGAGTGACTGAGGTAAAGTAAGGAGGAAGAGATAAAAATGTGCAATAGTTGAGCTGGGACCAGACTTTGGTCAGTGTGTGGTGGTGATGGTGGCGACCATGGTTATGAAGACTGGAAAGATTAGAAAAGGTAGCTGCTTCTCCAGTTTACAAATTAAGTTTGTATTCACCCTTTCCCTTGCCTCTTCCTGCAATGTCCCCAGGGTACTTAGAGCTGGTAAACAAACCATCAA